AAGAGCCAGCATCACATCAATTAGCTAAATTAATTGCGCCACCGACAACCTGGATTTGCCATCATTAACGGACGCCACTTGTCAGGGCAGTCCTGTGGGGCTGCCCGGCCGCGAGGCGAGGCGCAGGCAGCGCAGCCAGCGCAGCCAGCGCGCACCCGTCCCGAGTCACCCCGAGACTGTGGGAAGCGAGGTGGGAAGCGCCAGCGCCAACACCACAAAAAATCAGGGGATCATGTGCGCGATTTCAAGGCTTGAGAACACGTTTTATCGATTTAAACTTTCACGAAGATTGTCGCAGAGGCAGGTTTAGTCGGAGCTCTGCGCCCTGAAATTATTCGAGTCCGAAACCGCAGACTTGTTCAGTCACTCGGAGCTCAAATTTTTCTGCATTTTCCAAAAGCAACTAATTCCAAAACATCTTCCTTGAGTTTATTTGTTTCAAGGGCGCGCGCGCCGCCAAGGCTGATGGCGGTTTCAAAATCGAGTAAAATAATTTTGATGTGGTCGCGATGAGGCTGCCTGCTCACCCGGAGGCTGCAGTGGTCTCCTTGTCGACGCGGTGGCTCGGCCCTCGGGCCGTCGGAAGCGAGTAAGGGGTTATAAAGCAACGACCCGATTAGATTTAATCGCATTGTGTAATTTACAGCAAGCTTCGCTTTTACGGCGGCAACGGCCAGCACACTCCGTTCACAAGTTATGCCGTAAAGCCCAAGGGTCTATGAGGAGCTCGGCGTCTCCGCGCCGTCCGCGCGCTGCTGCACTGCGAGCACTGCGTGCAGTGCAGTGGCCGTCGAACCGAGCCATTTTCAAGCCAGCTCGCGTTTCGGCGGGAAAAGTCGAACTTGCCGCCGTTTCGAGCGTAAAGTCGCTCTGCGTGCCGCACTCGCGCCGGGAATCGAGAATCGAATCGGGCCAAAGCAAACACACAAATCATGGCCGTCGAAGTGAACACGTTTAATGGGGTAATGAGCCCACCCAGCGCTATCGCACGCTATCGGCATCTGCGGCAAGAACAAGTCGGCATTCGATTCACAGATATAAACGCAGCGATATGGGCCGGCCGCGCGCGGCCGCGGCCCGGATGGATTCATAACGAAAATAACTCGTTTTCCGAGTGTTGATGAACTTTCGGCCGGCCGGGATAAAAGTCTATACGTGCACGGCGGTGCGGCGGCAGACCGGCCGCTGCGGCCGCAGCTCTGCAAGAAAGAGACCACCGTTTTGCTTTTTTCGGGTCCCAGATTTATTATTGAGATTGATATGAGATTAAGACCGCGTGTCGCGGCGGTGCTGCGCGCGGGCACCGTTCCGTTTCTCGCGACCGAACCGACACCACGGAAACACGGTGCACTGTTAGGCCGGTCCAACCGGACGCCATCCAAAGGCAGAGCCAAAGGCCCCAAAGGCCCGGCCACCCGAGCCAACGGCTGCCAACGGCGCTACCAAAGGCTGATGGCAGCAACCGCCGGCCGTCCAGCGCGTCGAGCGCGTCCAGCCGGCCAGATTCGGTGGCTGGCGGCTCCAATGATATAAACTTGATGGCACGGATAGCCGGTGTGGCGATGGCTTCTGGCTTCTGGATGCCCCCCGGCGGTCGGTCTGGGGCCGCCACCGGCCGCCGCTCCCACGGGAGACTCCCCGGCTCCTGTCGCCAGCTCACTGGCCTTTGACAAGTTGGTGTCGTTTCGGCGCGGTGGTCGCCCAGGCCGGCCAGGCCGCGGCCCGGGATGGTCCGGGACCACCCGCACGGGTGTCGGCCCGGCCGGACGCAGGACGACGCTAAGCCCCGGCCCGGCCGCGCCTCGCGCGTATTCCAGGGAATGGCCGGTGGCGGGACGGACGGGCCCGATTTCGAATCGATAAAATTGGTCCGAGTTTTAAGGTTTTACGAGGCTGTCCATGTCGCCGAAGCAAGCATCAGTGTCGCCCGGGTGCCGTCGGCGCGCACGGTGGCCGCCCAGTCCAATCCGTGCGGGAGGGGGGAGTCCCAATGGGCTGCCCCCCTCCCCCCGGCAAAGCCGAAAGGGCCATGAGATTATCAAGAGGAGATCACACACTCGCCGAACGGAAAGGTAGAATGTGGTGTTGACAAGGTGCGCCCCGCGTGGCTGCCTGCTGCCGTGGCTGCCGCGGCGGCCTCCGCGCGCACTGTGGGACTGCGAGGCTCCCGGGGGGAATTTCACTCCTCATCAAGTAAACAGGTTTGAGGCGGTGCGCCGGGCAGGGCACCGCGGCCCGGCCCGCGCTCGGGATATGGTTATGAAGGCACCAAGGCAAATACGCCACCCGCTGGGCCGGGCCGGCCGGGCAGGCGGCACTGTCGCGGCCGTTGATTCGATTATCGGGCTCGATAAGGGGCCGCCGTAAACCACGACGGTCTGCATGCCGCCTGCCAGGAAGAAGGCTAGGTTAGGCCTCGTTGAAATGCCGCGATGAGTCGGCGCCCCTTCTGCTGCCTCATGCACCTCGGCGTCGTGGAGCCGGTGGCGCGGCGCGGCGTGGTGGCGTGGCGGTGGCGTGGCGGTGGCGGGGCGGTGCGCGGGCGGATACGAAAGACGCGTTGCGGCATTTTCCGGCTTGGAAACGCGACGCCGCGACGCCGATCGCTGCCTTCGGCCAAAATCGCCGCGTCGGCCGGCGCACGTGTGCGCGCCGCGGACGCTGACCGCCGGACGAAGGCGAGGGGTCAAGAGCCGGCAGCGCGACAGCGCGGCACTCAGCAAAGTCAAAGCCAGAGGTCGAACAGGGACGGCTAGGACGGCACGGAATCCGAGAAGGGGTGAACAACAGCGCGGTCCGCGGACTAGGCGGTGCGCGGGAACAACCCTCGAGGCACTCCACACAACCATACTCATCGCACTGCACGGCACTGCATGCCCGCCTCGAACAATATTGCCCCGCCGTTGTTTACAGCTAAGCGCGCGCGTTATTTACAGGTGAGTCGTTGTTATTTACAGCTCGCAAGGCGAGTGGCGCGGCGAGTGCAGTGGAGCGCAGCACAGCACAGCGCAGCGGCAACAACATAATAACACCTATCGGCCGCTCCGGCCCCTACCGCGGGGAGACTCAAACGCAGGGCAGTGCCTACAGTGTCGGCCGGCAGCGCGGTGTGGCGTGGCACGCCGTGGCACGCCGTGCTTCATCTCCTTCCCGCAGAGCTGCCGCCCCGCCAGGGCTGCGAGGGCTGCCACCGCGGCGCCACCTTCGCACGCCTCCCCGTGCCAGCTTGCTTGTTCACCGTGTTCACTGGCCTGCAGGCTCCGCATGGCAGCGGGGCGGCGGGACGGCGAAACAACACCTAATTACTGGACAACGCCTCCAATTTCGTTTCGAAGTTTGACCTATGCGCCGCGCGCCGCTACGCGCCGCATGCGGTGGGAGCGGCCTTTCTCGCCCCGCTCCACTGCACGTGGGCCAGCCTGGCCAGCCGCTCAAGGCCGGCCTGCTTTCTTTATCTGTTATTTTCAGTGTTACTCTTCTGTCTCGCCGAGACAGATGGGACGCAGTGAAATCAAGCGCCTGCGAGGCGGACATAGGCAACCCCTCGTACACCACCCCAAGGCGCCTGCCGACGGGGGGTAGGCAACCCTCCGTACACACCTCCCCGAGCGCCTGTCGGCGGCGGCTAGGCAACCCAACATACCTACATGATCTCCGTGGACTTGGACTCGGAATTCACCCCTGTGAGATGATGTCCGGACGCGTCGTTGGTGTCGGCCATTCGGCCGCGTCAACAATGGGCAGTGGACGGGAGCCGTGCCACGCAGTGCCAGGATGGCGGTGGGAGGACGCGAGGACGCCACCGAGAACAGCAGACTGTCTCTCTCGCACCGACACGAGACGCCGAATCAGTGCGAGAGGGACATGACGACTGCCAGTGGCAGTGCCACGCACTCCATGTAAACAGGCAGGAGGGGCCTCGTCGTGGACACGTTCCTTGGCACGACGGCGCGGCCCGGCGGCCCGGCGGCCCGGCACATGCATACCGTTACCGCGGTGCGTGAGCAAGCGGATTCTATCGCGGGGACAGGGCGGCATCAGCGTGGGGCTCGGTGGCGCCGCGACTGGCAGGCCCCTCGCATTCGCTGTCTCTCTCGCACTCGTGGGGTGTTTCGGAGGGGTGCGAGGGAGACAGAGCGGAGAAGCAGGAAGCGTTTCTGACAGGCCAACAGGTTGCTGGTGGCGATCAACAAGTGCGGCGGGGTGTCGCCCTCCGGCGCCACGTGCCTCGCGTGCCCGGCGCGTGTGGCCGCGAGTCCGCGGAGCCAAAGGTCGGCCGGCACCCCGCACGCCACGCACGCCGCCACGCACGCCGCCACGCAGGACAATGAGGCCATCAGCCAGGCCCAGAGGCCAGGCCGCGCCTCACACCGGCTACTGTGTCGCGAGCGACATGTGCAGGCATGCGTCCTGCGCGTGTGTGCGTACGCGTGTGTGCGCGCGTGTGCACCCGGCCCGTAGCGTGATTGACTGTGGGAATGTAGCCGAGGCGCTGTTTCCCACGGCGAAGAGCCTCAGGCCCTACGGCCCTCGCTTACTCACTCAGTCATTCAGTCAGTCAACTACTGCCGTCTGCCTGCTGCTGCCGTTGCGCCCGGCGGCCGACCGTCCGCCCGCCCGCGCCTTCAGCCCGCTTTAGCCTCCCCACCACCCGGCCATTATACGGGTGCCGCCCCGCCCCGGCCCCGCCCTTCCCCCGCCCCGGCGTGCTGCCCGGCCGCCCGCCCAGCGCCTGCCGCGCCGCCACCCGCCCGACCGCCGGCCGGATCACCCGAGCCGACCTTGCGCCCGCGCTGCGCTACGCTGCTCCCTCGCGCCCGCGCCCGCGCTGCGCTCGCGCCCCGGCTTGGCTCGCGCGGAGCGGCAGCAAGCGGCAGCCGAGCCGAGCGCGCCGCCGCCGAGCCGCGGGCAGAGCCGAGTGAGTGGGGGAATGCCTGCCGCCACCCACCCTCCACCCACCCCGCCGCCCGCCCCCACCACCTGGCTCCAGCTGACGGAGATCGCCTGGCGTGGGACCCGAGCCCGAAGACGCGGTGGGGCAGGGGCAGCGGGCAGGGCAGCAAAGCAAGCAAGCATCATTCCTGTGCGGACCGAGCTTAGAGCCACAAGCCAGAGCAGACCCTCGCTCCTCGCGCCGCAGCGACCTGGACTCGCGTCACCACGAAGTGCAAGTGCAGTGAAGTGCAGTGCCCAGTGCATCCCTTGGATTTTTACTCATCGACTCGACCGTCACCATGCGTTCACCAGCGGAGAGCATCGCCACCTCCTACCCCAACATGGCCGACTACGAGCACGAGCCCATCTCCAGGACGTACCAGTACAGAAAGGTAAGCACCGCTGGCATAGCGAGATACTACCGCCCCTCGTACGCCCCTGCGCGCTGCCCGCCCCGCCGCCCAGAGCCAGCCAGTCTAACGTCACCTCCCCTTGTTCTCCACAGGTCATGAAACCAATGCTTGAACGAAAACGCCGCGCCCGCATCAACCGCTGCCTGGACGAGCTCAAGGAGTTGATGGTCGGCGCGCTGGCTTCCGAGGGCGAGAACGTGAGCAAGCTTGAGAAGGCCGACATCCTGGAGCTGACGGTGCGCCACCTCCACAACCTGCGCCGCCAGCGCGCCCTCGGACTCACCCCCGAGTCCGCGTACGCAGACCGCTTCCGTGCCGGCTTCACGCACTGCGCCGCCGAGGTCACCAACTACCTGACCGTGCGCGCCAACCTCGAGGGCCCCGTCGTGGACCCGTCCGCCAGCGCCAAGCTCCTGCAGCACCTCAGCACTTGCATCCGCAAGATCGACAGCGACCTGCAGGTGCCCACCGGCTGCCCACCCGGGATGGAAGGCGGCAGCTGCCCCTGCCAGGACCACTGCGGCGCCGCCGAGCTCACCCTGCCCGCCCACCACCACGAGCTGCACCGCCACGACGAACGCCGTGCACTGGAGAGCCCCTACACGCCCCCGCTCAGCCCCGGGGCCAGCGTCACCAGCGAGTCGGAGCCCACCATGATCGAGTCCGGCGACGAGGGCTCCGTCTGGAGGCCCTGGTGACTTCCTCGACGACGTTCTGTGTGTTTGTGACAATGTGTGGACGTGTGCGTGCTTGTGTGTGTGAATGTGTGTGCGTTTGTTGCACTATTTATGATAGATTTTTTCTAGGAAGCATTTTGTGATCATGTTATAGTTGAAAGTACCGTTTGTGCATTTATAGTATTGAATTGAGATCTCCATTCGGATTTGTATAATTTGCGGACTGTGTGGGTGTAGCGAGTAGGTGTCGACGACCATGGCTCGTCTTACTGAATTGTGGCTTTAATAGATTGTAAGAGAGAATCTCCACTGTTGTGGTAAAAAATTTGATGTGATTTAATTCGTCCCTGTTGAATTTTTCAAAAAAGTTATGTTTTTGTTGGATTTTGAGAAACGTGCGGAGTGTTGTAAAAAGAAAACTTTAGTTTTAAATGTAAATTTTATTGAAAATTTCATACTTTAGCTTTAATTGTTATCGAAATTTTCAATTTGAATATTTTTCACACAGTTTTCACTCTTATATAGTTTTGAAATTTTGTTGATTTGGTGAAATACTGTGATATATATATTATTATTGTTTTGTACCTGAAAAGCGATTCATAGTAATTATGATCTTGTATAGCATCTCTGCTGATTGTGCTCTCTGTACAGTAAATTTATCTCTGTCCTGAAGTGATATGCAAATTTTCCAGCCACCATGACTTCATGTTTGCTAAGACTGTGAAAAGGATTTGCGATGACTGCTACATAGTTGAATACATTCTATTTTAAAAACTTAATCCATTTTCTCCTTTTTTTCTTTCCGCACTTCTCAACCCTGTTCCTTTTATACGGCGAAATGCATAACTCGAACAAAAGCCCATTCCCAATGGAGGCGTCCTTTTGAAATCACCTCAACGTGATCGGCGATGAATAACACAGAGCTTTCCGGGCCGACGTCATCCGTCACACCTAACTGGAACAACACCCTGGCAGCCGCGCCGCCGCGCGCCCCGCCGGCCCGCCACGCGAAGTTCTGGGGGTGGCCGCTAGAGGCCGGCAGCAGTGCGTTCTGGGCGGCAGGCCGGCAGCCTCCCCCGCGCCCAGCGCGCAACTCGGACGGAGAGCAACAGGGTGCATGCACTGCGGTGCATCGGTGCCCGGTCGGTGCACAATGCGCGCAGCTTTGTGCAAGGGAGAAAAGCAGAACGAGAAAGAGGCGCGGAGAATGAGATCTTCCTGAATAGACGCAACGGCACGCCTAGGAAAAAATACAACAATTTCTCTGAATCGATGCGATTTTGGGGCGGCGCGCGCGAGGGAGGGACACGTTGGATCACGACGAATCGAATCGAAGCCAGAGGCTGGGAGCTCCGCGGCGCTGCGTCCCCGAGGCCCGAGAGTCCATTTCGTCGCTGTCTCTCTCGCACTCATGGGGCTATAGGTGCGAGAGCGACGAAAACGCCTCTCAGTCTGCTGCCCAGGCAGGCCCAGGCTGGCCCAGGGCGTGGCGGCGTCCTGCTGTGTCACGCGGCGCCGGGCGTTAATTACTTTAATTTATGGTGTAAATCGGCTCAGTTCGTTATGGGGCCGAAAGCCGTGTAAAGCCTGCGAGGACGTCGAACGACTGCTGCGAACCTGAATCTGAATCCAGGCTCTCCCTGATTCCGAACCCCGATACGACGCAATCCATTAATACAGGAGAGGCCGGCGAGCCATTGCTGCATGCATTTTATTATTATTATATTGTGTGTGTGTGTGTGTGTGCGCGCGCTTGCGTCGGACGCGACTCGCACAGCTTAATTATTTTACACGGCGTCTGCAGCGGCTGCTGCGGTGGCGATGTTGCGGCCGGACTCCGGCAGCCCACGGCGCGGCGCTTGTTTTTTGCGATGCGGTGCGATACACGCTGTCTTCCCCTTTCCGCTGTGTGTGTGTGTGTGTGTGTGTGTGTGTGCATCGTTGGCACATCACAGTGCTCCTCCTTTTGCTGCTTTCTGCCGCGGCTGCCGCGTACGAGAGGTAATTGGCCACCACTCGGACAATAGGTGTGAGGTGCAAAGCTCCCTTCGTTTGTCGGAACGACCGCGCGCGGCGCAGCCCCGCGCAGCACCGCGCATGGTCGGTTCATTTCAATATACCTACGCAGCAGTGCTGCGCACACCGGATTCATTTCGTTTTGTGTTTATTTTTCCGAAAGCGCATCTGCGTTTGCGAACTCTGCCGATAGAAAGTGTGGGCTTTTCTTTTTCTCGAAAGCAGCGATCTAGCGCCGTGTGTGTGTGTGTGTGTGTGTGCGCCGCTGCTTGACGGCACTTTGATGGGGGTCACTGCGGTGCCACGGACGTGCCCGCCACGCGCACCGCGCTGCTCCCGCTGCCGCCCCGCGCTACACGGATTCTGCATTAGAGCCCTGCTGCTGCTGCTGGTGGTGCTGGTGATGGTTGTAGTGCTACCGGTGCGGAACTCAGTGTAACCCAGCCCGATGCCGTGCGCGGCAGAGCTAGTACCTCTCAGCGAATTTGGTTTCCAGTAGCTCGGAGCTAACAGCGTAGTACTGTGATCGCCCCTAGGCTCTTGCTGTCCGGGTACACTGCAAACCTAACTGTCTACACTTACAAATGCATGCTTGCAAGTACACACTTACAAACGCATGCTTGGCGCCAACTCCATGTTAAGCATAGACGTTTGTTTGCTAAGTATGCATTTGTAAGTCTGTACTTGGCCAAGCATGCGTTTGTAAGTGTGCACTTGCAAGCATGAATTTGTAAGTGTGTACTTAGTAGTTAGGTTTGTAGTGTACGAACCCTGATAAGTGACAAGCGCAAACCCTGACGCGATTCGCATGAACGACCTCTGTTAGGTTTGATTCATAGAGGTAAATCCATCGTAAAGCAATTACGAAAATGTTTGAGCTGACGGAGAATTTACGCTAATGTTCCGCGGTCCGCGGGTCCAGCCGAGTCCAGCACCCGTCCAGGCGGCGGTGCACTGACGGCGGCGGCCGGGGCGGACGAGGCGAGATATACAACCACGTCACAACTTCCGCCGCCAGCAGGCTCATTCCATCGCTCTCTCTCTCTCTCGCACCAGCCGTGGCGCACCCCGTGAGCGCGAGAGAGACAGCGACGAAAGCTGTGTCCAGCCTGCGGCCTGCGGGCGTGTGATTGCGCGACCCGCAACGGAGCCAGTTTGTTGGAGCCACTCCGTGCCGCCTTGCCGCTCGACTCACTCCAGTGGCGATACTCCACGGCTCGGAGCAATTAGTCGGGGGGCAAATAAGCGCCGCAATCACACACGTCACGAGGCAGTCGGCGTGCTCTACGGCCAGGCGGCGCGGCGCAGTAGCGGATCTGCTGACCGGTCAGCCTCGGCCCGCTACAGCGCGCTACAGTGCCACGGACACGTCTCAGCGCTCCAGCACTCGAATCACACACATGATGGTATTCGATGGACCGCCCTTCGAAAGAGGAATCTGTTGGTACGGCCCGGCGTTCAATGCGAGTCCCGAGGTCAACTCAAAACGGTGTCACACAGTCCTCTGGCCGCCGCGCCGTCGCGTCCGCGAAACACGTAGGACGGCAAGCAGGGCAGCTCGGAATCAGTCTGCAGCAGGGCCTCGCGGACGTGCGCGATAAACGCGTTTCCGGTGGGCCGGGTCGGCGCCGCGGAAGGCCAACCAGGCCGCGAGCACGCGCGTGCTTATCCACCTGACTTGACGGGCCACCTTGTCCTGCGTGCGCAGTGTCGCGGCTCTCGCCACGTCGCGCTGCTCGTGTTGCGGGTGGGTGGCCCTAGAGGCCCCACTGGTGGCGCCGCGGCCATCCACGGGAAGCAACAGATTTCGAAGCGCGCCGCGCCGCCTCTGTGAATTACTCGGTTTCCCTAGTAGGGCGTGCCGAGCGGAGCGCGCTAAGAGCCGCGCCGAGCGTCGCGCCGTGGAGACCGACGCCGCCACCACCCTGCCTGCCGTCGCCCTGCCGTCCTGGACCCGCGCCGCGACCTAATTTTGCCACACTGTACGGCGGGGACAACGAGACGCCACGAGAAGGACACGAGGGCCGCGCCCGCCCCGCCCCGCCCCGCGTCGACCCGCGCGCCGGAAACCGACACGTCCTGCCCGCCTCGTCCTGACATTCGAATCGGTTGACCTCCTCTGCCGATGGAGTAATGACTGCACCGCCTGTGGGAGCCGTCCGGCCGCTGGAGTCCAGCCTGGAGTCCAGCTTGGAGTCCAGCCTGGAGTCCAGTGCCGGCGGTGCGCGCAGGTGCACCATTCATCATCGCGGAGCACACCCTGACTGGAAATTGAAACTCCAGGCGCCCTCCTCCCCCTCCAGCTCGTGACGGCGCGCTCCAGCGGCAGGCTCCAGCGGCCAGACTCCAGGCAGGCGTCTCAGGCGCGCGACGCACGCCGAGGCCGCACGGCCGCACGCAGCAAAAGGCCGAAAGGGCTACTGGGCGCGGTTTACCACATATCCGCTCGGGCCACGTCGCGGCGGCACCCCGATTGCGTGCGCGTGGCTAAGTGTGTGTGTGTGACACACGCACGGCACGTCCTCCACAGCGCAATACCGGGCGGGTCCGCAGCACTGCCTGCAGCGTGGTGAACTCCGCCGCCAACCCGCGCCAACCCGCCACGGGCCACTTTGGAATCTGTCAACTGGGTGCATTGGGGAGGGCGCCGTCGGGGAGGGCGGGGCGCGAGGCGGGGCGGGGCGCGGGGCGGGCCAACAGGTCCACGGGCAGCAGGCCGCGGGCCGCGGGAGGGCGGGGTGGCGGATTATGTAGAGGCCGGAAGATAGCTATTGTGCGGGGCATTGTCAGCCAATTGCCACACCCGGCCCATGCCCGGCCCATGCCCGGCCCGCAGTCACGCTCTCACACTCAGTCAGACACACTCCCAGCCGGCTGATTCCGAGCAGCGCTTTCGTCGCTGTCTCTCCCGCACTCGCGGGGCGCCCCGTGTAGGTGCGAGAGAGACAGAGCGATAAAACGATCCTTCGGAATGGGGGCGCGGGTGGCGCGGGCGGCACGGGGCGCGCACGCACTAAGCGAGGCAGTGGAAGCGCACAAAGCCGGCAGGAACCTGATGTGTGCCCCGCCTGGCCCCGCCAAGGGGGGAGGAGCGGGAAGGCCCGCGTCGTGTTCCGGTGCGACAATAACAACAAGTGAGCCTGCTGATGGGACGCGTCCCCGCGCGTCCCTGGACGGCCGGACAGGGTGCCCCTTGGTTGGAGGCCCTACACTTGTGACCCGTCCGACCCGCATGCTGCAAGTGGCTTGCGCTGTTCTGTTTACAGTAGGCCGTCGGCCTTCGTCCTTCGGTCGTTGACCTCCACTCAAATTAGCAGTGTGCCGCGCGGCCGAGTGACCGACGCGCGAGCGCGTGAGCTAGAGAAATCCGCGGAGCCGGCGTCGTGGACTCGGCACCTCGCCGATGACAATGTTGCGCGGCGGTGTACCAGTATTCGCCGGCCGCTTGGCTGCGCCTGGCCGGCCCCACGCGCCGCCGGTTTGATTAGACGAGGACACCCCTCCCCTCCCCCTCACCCTGCGTCCTGCTGGGGCTGCCGGGGCCGTGACAGGACGGGACACCCCTCATTTCTATATTACACCCAATCTCTTCAACGAGTCGGTCTCGCCGTCGCCCGGTGGCCCCGCCACGCCGCGCCGCGCCCCGCCGCGCCCGCCGCCCAGATTTACTCTCGTTGGAAGTTAATCTGTGCGTCGGCACGGCGGCCCGGTCGGCCCTCATCAGCCGCCCCGTCGGGCCGTCGGGCACGCCGTCAGAGCAGGC